ATCCTGTCTCCTCCAACAGTCAAAGAGCTTCTGCATCTGTTGTATCGAAATTTCTGGTTTAGGGCTTGTACGCCCGGTCTTCGTTTGGTTCATGTCGTGGATCGCGTTTAGATCTGTATTGAGTCAGGCCTCCGTAAGGCCTAGACTCCCTTACGATTCTGAATGGAAATTGTCTCTCCCAACAGGAGTGATCTCAGCTGTCAATTACATCAGACCCAGACCATAGACTGATTGATTTCAGGTGGGTCCCGAGTTTGTTCAGATTTGTTTAGGGAGGACAGTGGACACTATGAGCTAGCCTGTATCTGGTAGTTCAATCCTTTTCTTGCATTGTGCTTCAAGACACATTTTGGAAAGTTGGCTTTTGAATGGGACGCTGGACCCGGTTTCCAGCAGGTACTCATAGCTTGATAGGTTATTGCTGGACTGGTGCTCTCGAGCTGGGCTCGTAAGCGAAACTGGCTGATGCTGCCAGGATAACTCCGGGTTGAATTGTGAGGTCCCCGGACTCTGTCGATTGTTCCTTTGTAATAAATTTACCAACTTAAAAAAAAATAATAATAAAAATAAAATAAATAAATAAATAAATAAATAAATAAATAAATAAATAAATAAATAAATAAATAAATAAATTACCAACTTTAAAAAAATAAAAAGAAAAAAAAAATAAAAAAAATTGAATCACGCTGGAAGATCCGAATAGCGATGCTGACAATGACCATAGGCCTCCCTGCACTACTCTTGAAATGCACAAAAGACAAAAATCATCTCGCTGTATCTTTCCATGTTCTAGCGGAAGATTCACTCTCGTTTTGCACCTTTCGAGAGTAGTGCAGCTAGGCCCCATGTCAGGCCCATTGGTGAGCAGATTTCTTGGGCCACCTGCTTGGGGGAGCCTGCTCGTTGGGTACTAGGCAAAGGGCAAAGGAAAAATGAATAAGAGGGGTCAGCCTGGCCCCTCTGCAAGGAAGTCATTGGTTACGGCTGACCCAACGAGGTCACTGGGCAGATCTGATCAGAATCAAAAGACATTGGAATTTTTTTATTTTTTTTTTGGAAGGTTTGCATTTATTATAGCCAAAACGAAAAGAGGCCGGGGACCTCACAATTCAACCCGGGGTTATCCTGGCAGCCTCAGCCAGTTTCGCTTCCGAGTAACCACCCGAAACTCTTGCTGGCCGCTATAAAAGTCGTCCTACTCAGGCCCCTTTCTGCGGGAAATTGGGTCCAGCGTCCCCTTTATGCAAACTTATCCAAAAGGTAATGATCTTGAAGCACAGTAAAAGAAAGCCAGCACCCACAATCTGGCTTATGCCGCCTTGACCTACTTACAGAATTCCATCAACCTCCGATCTGTATCGTTCAAGGAGCGGCTTTGTAAAACCCAATTTGTCTTACGCTCCCCTTGTCTACTCAGACCACCTTGATTTGCCTGTTTCAATCGAAGGCTGAGTCGACTATACTACCAAGTAAACCTGCAGGTCTATCTCGGCCTGCCTTTTCCCTCTGTGATATTCTTCATGCATACTTGAGCTAAAGCGCTCCGTCCAACCTTCCTTGTATTTCTGAAGCTTAACAGATCCTGAAAGGACGGCTGTCGCAAAACAGCCACCTAGCTATTTGTAGCTTCCCTTCAGAGGTAATGGAGGCCAGGAATTCTTCTCCTGTCCAGGTCTTACGAAACCACCCCAAACCCCTGCCTGAGCGAAGCCTTGATTTCCTCCATTCTGTTAAAACAGCTATCCTGAGCATGTCCTTGACCATTCTAGTCTGCTGTTGAAGTGGGAGGGGGTCATTACGGAAGACCACCGCATTTCTTGCTTTCCAAATAGTTTCCAGCAGTATTCCTCTGCACACCAAGGCTACATATCCCCATTCGTCTGAGAACTTGGCCTGAGATGGGGGTGTCGCATGCAATATCCAGTCGTCTGTCCATTCCCACTTCGCTGCACCTCCAGCTTCCCACTGCAGTTTCCACCTCCAGCTTCCCACTGCAGTTTCCACCTCCAGCTTCCCACTTCGCGCATCCACAGCTCATCCGCCAACGGCCATAGCAACCATAGATGTTATGTTGCCTCCCATCCCCAATTGCATCTCTTGCATGTAACATCCAACTCCATCCCCCTACGGTTGCGCCAGAGGGCGGATGGAATTACTGACATCGACTGTGCCCACATTAGGCTAGCTTGTTTTTGAGACGGTGTTTTTTTCAACATCTTCCACGGTGCTCTGAAGTCCGGGGGTGACTTCTCCCCCCCTTGGTTTCTCCTGAACCTTTCCAAGGCTTTTATATCCGGCTGAGCCTTCTGCACTCTCCGTTGCGCAGCTCCTATCTTGGCCTGGTACAGGATCAGCGGAGTGACCATTCCGTCTGGCCCGGTCCATCCATATTGAAGAGGTTCCACCTTGTAATTCGCAGCCGCCTGGTGCAGAAGCAGCGGGGCCCTCTTTGCTCTTGCTGTCTGAGGATCCCACACCCTTACCTCTATCAGGTCAACTGTGGTGTCTAGTGTTATTTCCTTAAAAGACATTGGAACACCTACTAGTAGTTCCAAATTGAATAATGGTTTCATTGCCAGACTCTCCGGAAGGTTTGATGACTCTCCTGTGAAAATTCCAAGATAATTCTCTGAGCCTTCCCTCCATTGCAGTGACTAACCCCCCAACAGAAGAGCAAGCGGTACATCTAGAGTCTCGCCGCACGGCACACGAAACGAAAACGAAAACGAAAAGAGTGCATCTGCCCACGAAAGGTGGCAAAATACACTCGTTACTATTTATAGCAAACGGATGAACCTGGCCATTTTCTGCAGGAAGATGCACTCGTTCGTTTTTCGTTTCGTGTCTCGTGCGCCGACGCCCCTAGTCACGTGAACAAATACGTACTATTTAAACAAGACGAATCCTGCGCTGTGCTACCCAACCGTGATATATATATATAATTGTTTTTTTTCCCTGCTGATGTTTGTAGGGGAGGGGACCACCACCTGAGGGGAGGCACAGGGATTGGTCCTGTTCGCATGGTCACTGATGCTACCCGCTGTCCCCTGGCCGGTATCGCTCACCTGCAGGTCATGGACACGGATCTCCCTGCTACAGGGTTCCCCGTATGACTATAGTTAGGAGTAGTGGTAGGTCAATCCCCTCTCAGTAAGGCAATGAATGCTGCTCACCACTACACAACAGATTAAGCACATACACTATAACCCTTCACAAATTTTGGACTGTTCAATCATATGATTACCACTAACTTGAAGTTCTTCTGCAGGTGGTTATGGCAAAACAGCCTTTATTAGTATCTGTTACCCAAATTAGTACCAGGGCTAATCTGAGAAATCTGGCGCCACTCAGATGAGGGCGAAGAGGTACAAGGGACACTGGGTCGTTTCCCAGCACTATCTGTTTCAATGTTTCATCATCACATGTCAAGGGACGCTTGACCCGCTTTCCAGCAGGTGCCGCTCCCCACTAATAGATTCGAGCCCCCAGTGAACCTGGTAGGAGTGCATGCTCTTATCATCACTCCTATCAGCAGTCACGAGGTGGTATTTTC